TCCCAACATCTGAATACAAAGCCAGTATGCTCCACTGTAGGTTCCCACACTCCATTCCCAGGCTCATCTTCTATGCTCACCTGCTATAGCCTCTGGCCCTCCAGGGCTCCCTCATCATCACCTCTCTCTGCCTTCCTCAAATTGCTTTTTGCAATGTGTTTTTGCAATGTGCTGCAATGTGTTTCCTATTGAATACTGTTTTCTCCTTCAACATTTTGTTCAAAACTTCCATCTCCTGAAGGCCATTTTTCAGTTTTCCAATTTAGAAGTAGCTTCCTTTTCCTCTGAACCTCTGTGGTGAGTTAGTTATGTCTTTCATACCATTCACCACACTTGGATTCATTATGGTCTGAGTGGCCTACTGGAGCATGGCCTCTAGAGAGGCCCCATGCCCTGCAGTAAAGGCAACACTGGAAGTTAGGCAGTGAACTTACTGTAACTCTGGGATTTTACATCTCTCAAGAGCTTCCGCATGTGGGCGGTGCATCAAAATACTCAAAATGTCCACAGTTGAACTATTCGTACCACTGAGGCAATTGAAACTGGTTTGTGTTGAGGCCTCCTCCTTACCATTCTTTCTACTAGACTTCAAGTCAACCCTGAGGAATTCAGCTTGTCATAATTGTGGAGGGGAGTAAGGGGGAGGGAAATCACTGTGCCCTGGAAGTATTGGTTTCAGACCACCCTCCTCTTCTTATATGTGGTTCATGGGTACCTTGGACAAGATATCGCTTCATTTTGTGCTTAAAAAGATTTTTCCTTTTCTCCAACAGGAAACCTAATGTTATCTATCGTAGGGTTGAAGTGAGAGATAGAAAGGATTTTCAGAGCTTTGAAAAAGTGTATAGCACAGTATCTGCACACAGGGAGCATTTAGCATCATGAGTGCAAGCTAAGTGGAAGGTACTGGGAGGTCTTTAGTTTCTAGGTCAGAGTTAATTAGCTGGCAACACCTGGGTAGTTAGGCCCACACATGTATGCATTGTTTTTGTGGAGTCAAGGAGTGTAGGGCTAGCTGTGGAAATTTGGGAAATAACAGGAAATATAGCAAAGGAAAGTGGGATTTGTGATTTCTCTTAAGAACACTGGAAGAGCTGAAGTCATAAATATTGTGGTTAAGAACGGAGGCTCAGAATTCAGTCTGCTTTAGAGGCCTACCCTCTATAATTTGTGTGATCCCATGCAAGTTGCTTAGTTCCTCTATTTCTTAACTTTATGTCTAAATGTTAACAACACTTGATTGACTTTCCAGGATTGTTAAATGTGAATATATTTCAAGCTCTCTGTGAATTTGTCTGGTTCATTGTAAGTAGTAAGTAATATATGCTGCTTTTATTATTAAAGCTGATGTCAGTTTTACTGCTATTGACCAGCAAACCTGAACACAGCAATTCCCTCCTGTGTCAACAGTTGGCAGTGAGTAGTAGATGATCCTTCACATGGCACATGTACGTCCAGGCAGCCACAGTGTTGCCTCTGACTGTCAACACATGTCTGCCCTGCTCTCTTAACAACAGTTTTTTCTCCTGTTGACTGATCCCATTATTGGCCATTCATGTCCAAGAGGGCTGTGCTATGAATCAGTTTTTATGGAAGTATCAACCTCAAGAACATCCAGCCCAGTGGTTCCTAATGTGTGGTCTAGACTCACAGTATTTTTGTCACTGGGCAGCTTGTTCTCAGAATTCTTCCAGACTTAGCTGAGTCAGAAAACACAGAAACCAGCAATCTATGTTTTAAAAATTCCTCTATCTGATTCTGGTCCCCACTTAGTCAATCTTAGTATGCATCCACTTAGATAATCCATGCTGGGATTTTATTATGTTAAGATCTGCACAAGTTTTGATCTTTAATTGCAAAAAAAAAAAAAAATACGATGTTTATTAGGAACAATGGTTAGATATTTTTAGAGAGATTTTAGTAAGTCAAAAGGAAGGAACTGCCTTTAAACAGTTGTGTGGTACCTGAAATAATGGGTTTAACAAGATTGAATAATTCTTTCAAGAGTTGTGATGTAATGATGACCTTATTACCTTCTCACTTCTGTAACTGCTTGTCTGCCTCTTCCTTCTCTATTCAGTAATTTTTCTTGATTTCTAAAGGTTTATTCTGTGTGGGGCAATACCTTTTCTCCCTTCCCTTATGCAAAGCAAATTATTCAAAGGATAATTTAGTAGAAAGAGTTATATTTTAGCTATTGACAAAAGTCTTTACTCATGTTCTGAGTTCATACAGTGTGTCAAAGCCACTATTTTTTTTCCATTTTATTCTATTCTTTGTGTAAAATGGTTGTGGCATAGCATCCCATTCTATAAAAATTTTCAAATTCTTGTCACTTTGTTAATGTGTTTTTATGATGGCTCCAGTATGCCTTCTCTTCACAATCTTGGTAGATTATTTTATTTTAAACTCAGGTTGCTGCTTTAGACTATATATTATTATAAAGGAATAAAGTATTTGTATTTATGAAGCGCAGATTTGCAGTTGAAATTTTATCTTGAAAAATATTTTAAGAAAATTTTATTTCTTATCACCAATACCCATATTTACAATATACTGAAAATTTCATTAGAGGATAAATATATAGGTTACAACATCATCAAGCATAGCTCAAGGACAGTTTAGATGCAATTACTTACAATGAGTGTCAGAGTCTACTCATGTTTGTGCAGTGTACTCTTTAAAAGTAATGTTGATTTAGTGACATCTTTCTATAGTTATGATGATTTAATTATTTTATTTAAATAAATGAAAATTAGATAACACAAGTCCTTTCTAAAAAGAAAGGTTTTGAAGGATGTTACAAGCCTACAGTTACAAGTTCTCCAAACCCAAGTTACATAGCTAAAGCATTTTGTTAATTGCTTTAAAAGTCACCTGTTGATAGACGTTAATCCCCAAGCCATACATACATTGATTAGTAATCGTACAACCTTCATGATCCTTCCCTAGTGAATGCAAGAATACTGCCACTTCCCAGACTGCCCTGTAAATACTATAGGAGAGCAACTGATAAGAGTTTGACCTTTCAAGAAACTTATGTCATCTGATAATTGAAAACATCAGTTAGAATTGGCTTCCTTTTTGCTTCTCTAGTAAGTAAAAATTAAACCATCTTGGCTATTTTATCAAATACTTAATAATTTCACAATGGGGTACAATATTTGACCTCAAAAGTATACTTAGGTTATTAAAGGAATAGGTAGGACATATGTGAACAAGTAAATGCACAGCAGCATAAATACAGCAATTTAGGTGTGACAACATATACAGGTGATGAAGTGATTGGGCTTGAAGTGTTAGGGAAGTTGACCAGGTAAGATATCATGGACTCAATAATGGCAACTTAGGGTTTCATAGTTGGATGAGAGTCTTCTCAGTGAATCAGAAGGAAAACTGTGTGCCAATTGCCACAGGGGCAAAAAAGAACATTTCATGTTCTGACATACATAAATTTATCCAGGAGTGGAATGTTCAAGAAATGGAAGAGCATTAGGTGACAAGGCCAAAACTAGGCATGTTGTAGCTGCTTCAGGGCCTTTGGGTCATGGAAGGCATCCTGAGCTTGGCCTTATAATGGGTGTGTTGAAGCTCCTGCTCACTTTTGAAGCATGCCTGCTCCTTTTTGCATTTTCCTGAGGACATACAAATTAGCACCCAAGATTCCTAAGAAACATTTTACTTTTTTTGAACTACAGAGGGAACTAGGAGAAAAAATGGTGATAAATAAGTCTAAGTAGGTCACCAGTTTATTTAATATATTAGCCAATAAGAACGCCACTAATCATGAGTGAAAATTTCATCTGTGTGTGTGTTTCAATAATGACATAATTACGACATAGGCTATTTAAAACATTTCCCACAGTCTGTGACCTGTGGGAAGTATTGTGAAAGACACCAATGAAATAGGAAGTGTTTTCTGATTTTAAGAATGCTAATTGTCTTGGCGATGCAGTTAGGAATACAGTAATTCATGAAAGGAAAGCTGCAGTAAGGTCTAGAACACACATCCATATAAAGAGGAGAGTGATTATTTTCATCTGGAGATAGGAGGCAGGAGAATGGAAGGTAAGGCTTCGCTCACTAGGGGGCATATTCAGCCACCACTAAGAGTATTATTATGCAAGGAAAATTTCAAAGAATAATAAGAAATATTCTTGCCTTTAAATGGCTTACACGTAAGGTGTAAGCAAGGTACTATAGTACAATAATTGGCATGGCTTCATGATGTTTGTGCCTCCTATGCTGCATTGGAGTCACTTGGAAAAGATTCTTTGTCTAGGTAAAGAGACACGACCCCTTTACCAGGCTTTCAGAGTAATTTTTTTTTTAAAGATTTATTTATTTATTTGTGCATACAGAACTGGGGTACAGGCCAGAGGCTCAGGG